TTGGTAAGAAATGACAGGTCGAATTTGTCGCTTTCCCGCATTACTGGCAACTTTTGAGGCTTTTATTACTGAATACTGAAAGAGTAGACCGTCTCCACAGACTCTCTAGCTTAAACAATGGGACCCCATCAACGGTACACCAGTGTATAATAAAGTTACCTCAACCCTGGCGCCTCTTTCAGTAAATATATAAGTATAAGTGATCCCTGTGGTATACTATATGCTATAAATTAGTCGAATGGCCGCTACTCAGATGATTCATAATTAGAGAATCACACTATGTTCTACCATGTCAACTAATTGCATATAGCAAATATATTTAATTGAAAACAGCCCAACAATACAATAATTTTCTAATATTACATAAATGTTGTTCAAGAATTATTTTATTTGTGAAATGATATTTCTAGAATTATTTAAATGTGTTTTTCAACAAATTACATGTAATGGAAATGTTATGCACAATAAACTCCAATAGTTATTGTCAACAATAACACTTTGCTAATTGTTATCATTGCGAATATCCCATATTATATCAGAAATGTGTGATAACGACTCTTATAATCATTGAGTAATTAATGTTTGTGTTGTCTTCAGAATTGAGCTGGAACCTGAGAAGGCAATATATGTTGCATACTGATTTAAGAATGAAACATATTGTGTCAAGTAGCTACAATCATGAATACTTTTTTATGAAATCAATTGCATATGAAAATGCATAATGTTGCTGTCCCTATACTCTAGAAATGAACACTCTGTAAATAAAACAGATTTGTGAAGATGAGAAGGAGGACTAGTTAGGATTTCGAGTTGCCACTCCCACAACAAAAACAAGTATATTTTTGGCCCGACTACATACATTTCGAGTTACAATTATGTAATTGTAACTCGAAATTCATGAAGATCATTTCGCGACTCAACTCGAAGTCTGTTAACTGCATTTCTCGACTTATATTAATTCTTTTTTTTTTCAATTCAACAACTGTACTTACCAACACCCAAGCATGATGCACACAAAATGTGATTACTTAGCATTAATATGATTGGATCGAGTGCAGAAAAACACGACAAGCTAGGATTTGTATTTAACAAATTGCTTAAAGAATATGTAAATTTAGGCAAATATGTAAAATTGGGATTGTGACTTGCGAACCTAGACAATAAGGTTGTATAGTGGCGTTAAAGAAGTTCGAGTTACTACACAGTGGCATTAAGTCGAAATTGCGAAATTGTCTTCGCGAGTTTCAGATCAAAATTGAGTGTTATCGGCTAAAAAATATAACTCAAGAGTAGACGTGGCTTATAACTCGAAGTCCTAACTCGAACATTTGCTCATAGAACTCCTACTACCTTCCATGATCTACCATGAACTCGCCAAAATGTGTGTTACCAGTAGCGAGCCAGGGAATAAAATGATAAATTAACTTTTTTTTAAAAAGGCTCTTTTGGGGTTTTTCTTTGTTCTTTTTTAAATTAATTATAAACGACCCTGACATTTGCTCCGCGTACTGTCATAAATAATTTGTTAACAACATATTTTTCTATTAAAAGTGCCTGGTTCTTCCTTTCATTACAAGTTTTTGTTTACTCATGGTACACTGTGTATTACTGCTCCATTGTTTTTCACGATTGACAAACATAACTATTACACGCTCAAGTAGGATTAGCTACCGTGCTATAAATTACATACACCTATATATAACTATAGGACGTAGTGTCCTGTAATAAGCCAAAAACATTGTTAATCTGTCATATCAGCGGGAATTCACACCGTATTTTCATGACAACGTTTCGAACTGGTCATTCCTCGTTAGTCTGAATTTAAAAAAAAAACAGGAAAAAGCTAGTAGGACCGTTAAATATAATACAGAAACTTTAGATCATCAGTTGAAGAAAGATTTGCTCGAAACTTTGAACATATTGAATAATTACGATTACGTACCACCATTTTGTGTATATTACAGTCTATATTGAATGTACAGCGGGTCACTGCTATAGTGGGTGGTGTGAACGTGGTTATAACTTTTTTTGGCGATTTCCGCGAAGTCTTTGAACATATGTAATATTAACAAAACCACATGGTCACGCCCTGGCGTTCCCGGGGATTGTTATTTTCATTCGTTGTTCAGTGTACCAATGCTTTAATATTGAATATTAATATTAATGCTTGAATATACGGCCGCAGGATATACCGCATCACTCATGGAAAAAAACTTCCATGCCTCCGAAACATCAGGGCGGGACGATGGGGTTCTGTCATATTATTGCAGGACTGACCACTTACGGGACAGTGAACAAACTGCCACGTGATATTGAAACCCGTCTATTGGTTAGTTTGGTTTATTCGGTAATTAGTGGCGTGGTGCAATTGAAATACAGTTCTTGCCGTCAAAAAAACTTAATTTGCCTTGCTGCTATAAATCATGAACTGGTTCTAACGACTATGCTGTGTACACAGGTTTCTAACCTGAAACTGGAAAAATGGAGCGCAAAGCGCTGACTATTGTAATCGTCTGTGTTGTTTTAGTGGTTTGCGTCGCTGCTGGTCTAATCGTCTATTTTGCAACACGAAATGATTCTGATCCACTAATCGATTCAATTTCAGACCTCGGTCGATTCGATTGTTTTCCTGAGCCCAATGCGGACCAATCCAAATGCGAAAAACGTGGCTGTATTTGGAAAGAATCATTAACCGCTAACGTGCCGTGGTGTTATTACCCGTCTGTGTACGGGTATAAAATCACGGGAAAGCCGATGGCGTCCACGCTAGGTACGACTATTAATGTGCAGTGGATTGATGACATCCCTAAACGTTATTCTGATGACGTGAGTACGACCATCGAAAAGTTACGTGTTGACATCGAACATCAAACAGACACCAGACTGCGAATCAAGGTAAGTGACCGGTATCGATTCATTTTTTGATATTTAAAAGGCGGCGTGGCTTTATATTAATAAAATATTCTACAACTTTATTTGAAAACTGGTAGGTTCCTATTGATAGTAATTTTAAAATGCGTTGAGTCCAACATATAAATAAACACTCATCGCGTGACGACAGAAGCCGCCATGTTTGTCTACTAGTATGCGCAAACGATAACATTGTAGTGTAAAACAAAATAACCGTAACAGATCATATTAGTGCGAAAATAATTTTCTTCATGTACTGTGGTGTTGTAAACTTGTTTGTTTGGAAATAAAACTAACGTATTATCGTTTACTTGCATCGAGCCACTAAGTAATTGACAATGTCCTGCCAACTTTCTGAAACTGTTGTGTAACCCATATCCAACAACATGGTTTATCAAATTCGTTCGAATTCTACTAAATCATGTACTTCTGTTAAAAATGTGTTGCGTAGGCAAGTTTTTGTTTTGAAATTCGCTCATCAAAACACGTGGACTTTGTACGTGTGTGATGCAAATGGTGGAATATAAATACATCGAACGTTCGACATCAGATTCGAATCCCAGGAGAGGTTGCATAAAAAATACTGCAGTTGCTTGTTGTTTTTTTCAAATGTTTTTGGTTGTATACGTCACTATATTAGCAAGGACGCCATTTCAAAGAATTTTGATGGGTGGTATGGTTTGAACGATACAAGGTTAGTCTGGGTCCAAAGTAAGCATTATATAGGTGTTTTAAAGCATAAAAAGAACGTGGTATACTGCAACTATTTTATCAATTCGTACACAAAAATGAGTGTTAGTGGGAGTCGCAATAACTTGCCTATAAAACAATTATACGCCCTAAATCATCGTATAAATACACTAAATTTATGTATTGGAGATAAGGCATGGCAGTCAGGTGACCGTAAATCATCGGTAGTAGAGGTACAATAATGTCTCAAGTATGCTGACTACATATGTTTATGGGAATAATGAACACTAAGGAATGAAACCGCATAACAGATGATACAATGTAAATGGTGACAAGCAACAGCGTACTAGTATAATTTAATATAGGGTTATTATTTACCATAAAAACGTTTTATGGCGCCGAATATATGGCGTGGGGTAACAAAGGACAGCAACAACCAGGGAGTGGGAGAGAAAGTTCAAGCAGACAAATGTGTATATTTATACACTAGGTAATATGCATTGACTGAATCTCTGTCGTGTCGATCACAGTAAATGTCATATGTTTGAGAGTGTTGCGTGGCAGGATTCCTTTCCCGAGTAATAGTGGAATCCGTTTTCATCAATTCAAGCCAGTAACTTTATTTGGTGTTTTCCATTTCCCTCCAGATATATGACGCGAGTAAGACTCGGTTTGAAGTACCATTACAGCTACCAAAAGTGACAGAGAAAGCTGACAATCCACTCTATGACGTCACGTACACAGACTCTCCGTTCAGTTTTCAGATCACGAGGGTTGATACAGGAACCGTTATGTAAGAAGGCATATGTGTATCGAACACGCACGTTGCTATGTTTACATGAGAATATTTGTATTTCTTTCTCGTAAATTTCCCTTGTTTCAGTATTTTTTTCACGCTTCACTATTATCCCGCTTTGATATGGTAATCGATATTGTTCATCTGTTGAAACGCAATAATTTTTCCAGACAATATTTATCAACATCAGTTTACTAGAATGCTTTATTTTCAGCTTTGATACGTCAGTTGGTGGTTTCACGTTTATTGACAAATTCATTCAGATATCCACTAAGCTCCCATCCAGTAACGTGTACGGATTTGGTGAACATAACCATCGTCAGTATCGGCATAATTTAGACTGGAAAACTTGGGCCATCTTCACTCGTGACGTAGCGCCAGTGGTAAGTCACTCGATTACCGGATACATTCTTCAAATTTGTATTCATGTCTTTTCATTTGTTTATGTCTAGCTACATTTTTATACGTTATGTTAATCACATTTTTAAATACAAAATGTCAGACACCGTACATCGTATTGTTCTTAATACATGTGTACATACACTGTATACAAATCAGGATTGGCTTTCTTTGAGTGAAATTGGCAAGTTAAAACGAACGTGCAGTTGGTGTAAGATTCAAATTCACGTTATACACGCGCCAGATTCACGTGAGATCATTTGTGGGGCTCAGTTGTACACACAGTGATATTCTTTTTATAAACTAAACGGCGAACAGTTTTATAGAAAAAAATAAGATATTATATCAGCGATTCATACTCATTATACCTGACTTTTGCAGCTGCAGAAATATGAAATGTTATACACTATGTACTTCTGGGTTGTCATTAAACACAGTTGTAATCTATGAGACAACCGCGTTGATGCATGATTTCTGCTCATATAACGCCGACCCATAATTCCTTCTCTACTTGTATCATTCTGAGTCAAAATTTGAATCAAAAATATCAATTATGCAGTTATATTTTTTTAAATTTTATAAATATAATATCGAAATTGAATTTAATGTTTGCAAACATATCTGACGTGAATCTGACGCAAATCTAACATGAATCCTTTTTCACAGTCATGCTCGTCAATTTACACGTTTTCTATGTTTGTATTCACATTTGCAGGATGAATGGAATCTCTACGGAGCCCAACCACTTCATATGTGTATCGAAGACGACGGAAATGCTCATGGAGTTCTCTTACTAAACTCTAACGCAATGGGTAAGAATATATTGTTTTTTTTAATGAATTAAGTTCTTCGTCGTCCAGTGATATAGTGTACATAATCCAAAATATATTTGTTTACTTACAGATATAGTTCTACAACCAACACCAGCTTTAACATATCGTACAATTGGCGGTATTCTCGATTTCTATTTTTTTCTTGGACCGTCACCCGAAGACATTGTTAATCAATACACAGTCGAGGTATTGCAGTCACCTAATTTCAATTCAAAGAAGATGAATGTATCAAGTTGAACTATCAAATATAAAACTTTGTATCGACTTGCCAAATTATTACATTTTTTTTACTATATGTAACTAGTTTACAGGTCCACCGATGATGCCGCCCTACTGGGCCTTGGGATTTCAATTATGTAAATGGGGTTACGAAAGTCTGGATGAAGTTAAGGGTATCGTAGAAGACATGAGGACGCATAGAATCCCGCATGTGAGTGATGAATTACACGCAATTGATATTGTTGAATACCCGTTGGTTGATACGAAGGCGCATTTTTTGCTTAGCTCACGGTGAAGCATATATCCGATACAGTACAACATTGCGCGCCTCTTTCTGTGGTTACTGAAATGACACCCTGAATGATTTTCTGAATGAATTTGATCATATATTTATATTCACTGAGTAGTTCTTAACATCCATTACCAGTATAGATGGAATAATAGATACTTATGTTTTGAATACAAAGCTGCT